ACCCAACCAAGTAAACACAGAGACTTATATTACTTACAAACTGTATGGCCGTGGCAGGCTTCTTGCTAACTGTTCTTTTATCTTAAATTAACCATTTCCATAAATCTATACCTTGCCACATGGCTGGTGGCTTACCGGCGTCTTCACATGCTGCTGGTCATGGCGGCGGCTGTAGTGTCTCTCCGCCTCAGCCTTCCGCTTCCCAGAATTCTCCTCTCTCCTTGTCCCACCTACTTCCTGCCTGGCCACTGACCAACCAGTCTTTTATTTATTGACCAATCAGAGCAATTTGACTTACAGACCGTCCCACAGCAAATAGTTTTTATTTTTAGTATGTTTTCATGCTCACTAATCTTTTTTTCTGTATCAGCCAAGTCTGACATCACTTCTAACCTGTTTTTTTTTTTTACATTGACTCCAATAGTATTAATTTTCGTAGGTTTCATTTGAATCACGCATCTCTCTAGTTGCCCATGCTGGAGACCCAGCCTCATTTGCTTAAATTAGAAAGACTGCTTACTGCTTAGGCCTGGGTCCTCTTTTCTGAGCATTCTGGGCTGTCACTTTATGTACCTACAGAACTTATCCATTTCCCACATCTTGGGAATTCCTGGGTGGTGGCCTTGCCATGTCCAACCTCTTGAGAACTGTTGTTTATGCCTAAGTGTTTGTATGTGTCACATTTGGAAGGTCAAGTTTGGTATTTAATTTTTCCATCATTCACAGGCTGAAGGCACATGGATGAAGTCAACAGTTGTAAAGATGAATTGGTCTCTTTTGGATTTTATCTCATAAATTTCATTCTTAAAATTTTGTTTCTTGCTTTCCAATTCATGTGCCAAGTTTACTGTTCCTGTCTCCCTGTAATTAGAAGGCCTTTAGCACAGTTCAAAGGGAAGAGATGAGATCAAGTATTTCTGTTCTTTGTTTATAAGGAATTTAAAATTCTACTGCTACATGTGATTCTTTTCTGTTTCATGTTGAGAATGTTTCTGTCTCATTTGCTAGGAGTTTTCCATTTATTTATTTGTTTATTTATTTACAACCGGAATAAGTATTGAAAAATTTTCAAGTGATTTTGCATATCTCTTGAGCTGATGATGTATTTTTTGTCTTTATTAATGAGGTTGATTACATTGATAAGACTTCCCCCAAGATTCAGACTCCTCTGCTGGCTTGCCATAAACTGCTGCTGCTGTTGTTATTGTTATTATTGGACACAGGGTTTTGCTGTGTATCCCAGGTTGCCTTGAAGATGTATTACTTCTGTATTACTCCTGCTAAGATTATAGTTGGGCATTACTGTGCCTGGCTACACTATTTTTCATGATGTATTTGTTCTTATTTTTAATACACTATTCATTTTGTTTGCTGCTATTTAATTGTGAATATTTATAACTAAGAGCATAAGTGAAATTGATCTCCATAAATTACCGTCCTTGAGTTAATACCATTCTTTTAACACTATTCTCATAAACAACGTGGAAGTCCCCTTCTAGACCGGCTATATAAAAGATTACCTTCCTTGAGTTAATACCATTCTTGTAACACTATTCTTATAAACAATGCAGAAGTGTCCCTTCCTAGAACAGCTATATAAAAGAGATGTTCCCTATTCTGTGAGATGAAAAAAAATCAGGTACAACTATTGGGATGTAATAAGATTCTTTTGGATTTTTCATGTTTAATGGTTATTATTGTTTAGTGGTAACTAACACATATGTTTTCTATTTTCTCTTCAATTTGTTTAAAGTGATTATTCCTTATGACTTTTGAATGTCATTATTGCAACCTTGTCAATTAAATGACACAGTTTTTAGCTGCTAGTGTTTATGTTTTGTTTCTCTTGATGCTTTTATTCATCTTTGCTTCTATGTGTGAGTGAAGAGCAGTGATTGACGTGGAGTCTCTTCCTCAGTTGCTCCCTGTCTTCATTTCTGAGACCGAGTTTCTCACTGAATCTGAAGTTTACTTAGTCAGCCAATGAACTCCAGGTATTTGCCCAGCTCTGATTCTGTAGCTCTAGTTTACAGCCATGTTCCACTGTAATGGGTAGCTGTTTCAGCTTTGACCTGGAAGTATTAACTGCACTGAGGCTTCTGGTAACTGTCACACCTACCTATGGCCTGCCCTTGAGGCAGAGCCAAGATGGGAGCCCTTAAGACCCCGGATCTGGATATGCCGCTCTCTCTGGTTCCTGGTAATCCTGGATGTTGGACGGTAGACCTAGCAGAGTTCTCTGAAGAACACCACTGGACTGCACTTTACCTCTCCTGGACCCTGTAACCTATCTCTTTACTTATTGTTAGTAAAACACCCAAATAAACCTCCCTTTTAACTACGTGGAGTTGCCTTAGTACTTCCACAACTATTCCGCCATCTTTGGCTTTTCCTGGGTGCTGGGGACCCAAACTCGGATCTTCACACTAGCACGGCAGTCAGCTCTCCAGCCCTCATCTGCGACTTACCTCTTGCATTTCTTCTTGGTGTTTTGCTTTGGTTTAAACTATTAGTTGGCAACATCCTGATCAGACCATTCGTCATGTTAATTTTTCAGTCTTCATCTTATTTTTCTAATAGATACAGCAGATTAATCTGTGAATCTCTCTTAAGTACCACTTCATATGCCATAAGTATAGGGTATGTGATAGAGTCATTATTTTTCAGTTGTAAACATTTTAGAATTCTAATTAATATTTCTTTGACCCATCGACTATTATGAAGAGCAGCTTCCAAAGTGTTTTTTTTTTTTTCAATCTTTAGTTTTTTTAACCTAGTGATATTGAAATTAGAATGTGGTCTCACTGTATTTTTGAAGCTTTTTTTTGTGGTTTAAATATGTTTAAGCAAGGCATTGAAGGTCAGCTTGGTTCCCCTTGTTCTTATAATAAAATACAGAATTAAGCATATGGGAAGTAGACGGTTTTTCAGAATGTCTTCCCTAATGTCAGGGGGGCTCATCTAATCAGCTGAAACCTGACTTTAACAAAAAGATAGAGAGACACTTCACCTGCCTCACTTCTTGAGCTGGGATCTGATTTTTCTGCACTCAGATTGGAAATTACACCATTAACTCTCTAGTTCCGTGGTGGTGGTGGGGGTCTTTAGACTCTATTGGGAACCACATCACTGGCTCTTCTGGGCATGTGGCTTGTTGATTGCATATCTTGGGCACTCTCAGCTTCTATAATTACATAAGCTATTTTCTCATAATTAAATATGTATATACACATGTAGTTGGCTCTACATATACATGTGGCTTGCATCTAAGACCCATCCAAATGTAGACAGAAAAGATTTTAAACAAAATTTTATAATATTCTGATGGCAAAACTTGAGCTTGCCACATGCTGAGCACTGTGCTGAGTCCTCGCGGATGAAGTGATGTGTAGGCATACCCTGCTGTAGCCTCCTACAGTTTCACAGACTGTCAATCTCTTCTAACACTCATTATGTGGGTATTATTTGCCTTGAATCTCATTTGTGCACTCTCTAGCTTGGGCCTAGGATGAATCTGTAGCTTGAACACACACCGACTTAATTCTTGTCATTATCTTCGAAGCAGTACAGTATAACTATTTACGTAGCATTTCTATTGTGTTTGATATTATAGGCAACCGGAGGTGTTTTATAGGGAGGATGGGCATCGCTTATATGCAAACATTATCCCACTGTGTATAGGGGACATGGACATCCCTAGGGTTTTGGTAATCAGGAGGGGTCCTGGATCTAACCTTCTGCAGATATTGCAAGACATGTATTCTGTTCTTTGTTCATTTACTGTTGAAGCATTCACTTTATTCCTCGTCGCATGCTCGACACCAGAGGCAAACACTAGAGAATAATGAGCTGAGATCACAGGTTTGGGGGCTAGAGAGGTGGTTCAGTAGGTGAGAGAACTTGTTGTGTAAACATGAGGGTCTGTGTTTGGATCCCTGCAGCCACTTCACAGCCAGGCTGTGCGAGGTGAACACAGGAGGATCCCTGGACCTTGGGGTTCACCAGCACAGGTCGCAGTGAAGGAGACAGTGATAGCACAGGGCAGCTGATGTCCTCCTCTGCCCTCCATGCATGCCCAGGTGTGCACACATGCACATACATGTGCACATGTATCAGAATGCACATATGTCATAATGAAGCCCAGTGTTTTGTACGCTAACTAAAAAATAAAAAAATAAAAAAAATTGAAAGGAAAAAAATCTTTCTAATTAGAGGATTTGTAGTTCATTGACTCACATTTACTTATAAGCATTTGTTAGAGTAACAGGGAACTGTGGGGGGTGGGGAGGAAAGCAAGAACAACTTTTCTCGTTCTGTGCTTTCTCTGCATGTGCAGAGACTTAATTATCAGGTCACCTCGGTTCTCAGCCAAGGAAATTATAGTCTTGGTCATTAATTTGTATGTAAATGCCATCATAGTAGGGAAACAGCGCAACACTTGGGTCCTATCAACAAATTCCCTTGTAGGAGGCATGCAAATTAGAAAGCAGAGCTGAAAATACTCAGGGAAGTTGACAGTCGTTTGTTTTGTCCAGGAGAGTTCTGATGCTGACACATAACAACTCTGTGTGATTGTCAAAGATTGTTCAGAAAATATCAGTCCTTGAGACAGTCTTGATGCTGAGAAAGAGGACTCAGTAATGCCAATCAGGTACAGATCTATTCGATGCTGTCTGTAGCTTCTAGTGATCCCTAGGGACACAGTCAACTTGCCCATCACTCAGGACTTTCACCACACCTCTTGTCTTGGATGAATCTGGCTTGGTCCAGAAGAGAAATAACCATCAAAGACACCACAGGGTCCTGGATCCAGGGCTGGTTCCTTAGCTGAATCATTAGCAGTACAAATCCCTGTCCAGATGTGCAGGGACATTTGGAGTCAATCTAGGCTAACGTGTAGAAGGAGAGCCTGGTTGTGCCAGTGTTGTCTGTATTCAGATGTAGTTCCTTCAATATGTGCCTGTTCACACAGGAAGAGGCTCCAGGGAGTAACAGCATGGGCATAAGTTCAAGGCTTCCCGAGGAACTGAGAATATAAATAGAAAAGCCAGATTTCTCCAGGTATGTAGAGAAGGGAATCGGATTACAAGGAAAGATACTGCAACCAGTGGTACTCAGGACCCCAAGTTTCTTTCCCAGGTTGAGAGCAGAAAGACTGGTCTAGTCCTCTGTCTGTGGACTTAACCTTTAC